CATTAAGAAACTTGGCTTTTAGCCAGGGAAAAATAACAAAAACAAAACCAAAGCTTTCTGGGGTCCCCAGGAGGATGGACAAGCAGTCTGTTTGGAAGATACTAGAGCAAGACAGATGATTTAAACAGCTGGATGAAGAGACACGAGAAAGTTTAGAAATATTTAAGTAGTAGAAATCAATAGGATTTTCCGAGCAGCTGGTTACACATTCCAACATCACATAAAAATAGTCTGGGGATTTACTACTTAAGAAAAAGTTTATTACATCCTTTAAAAATCACTCATGTCATTCCATTCTTGTGTGACTGAAGCCCAAGTTAATTTAGACTTAACTAGTCTCTACACTGTCACCAGGGCAAAACCTCCACCTTGGACCTTACACATGACTGAGCTATGAAAGGTGTTCCAAACTAAAAGTTTTGTGTGTTATCCCAGTAGTAAGAACCAAATTTAACTCCCAGTTTAATTTATGAGCTTCGGCATAAGCAATCCTGTACCAGACAACACATCATTGTCTGATCTGCCCAAGGTCTTTTGGAGTGCAGGGAACTTAATGCCCCAAATGACTTGGAGGTATAAATAGTCTAAGGTTTTATACAGCATACTCATATTCTTTTTGTATTTGTTTAAAACATTCTCAAAGAGTGTGAAAGATACTGAAACACCAAGACAAATAACCTCTTGTAAGCATATTTGTGTTTTCTTGGGGAATGATGGATATAAAGTCACTCACTAGCACGTGTAACATCCTTCACTTCCACTTGCCTAATGATAGGTAGGAGTCAACACAGGTAGGTGCAATTAAAACAGTTGGAGTAACTAAGCCAAACATGGATCCCTGCAAACAGGGAAGGGGAGGAAACAGGATACTGTTTATTAAACCTTGCCTGTGATTATAACCTGCCAGGTCATCATCTGTCACCAAGGTACAAAAATGTATACATTTAATGGAAGGCCTGAGGATGACAGGAAGTAGGATTCCATTCCAACATGAACACCACTCCCTCAGATAGAAGCACGTGACTCCAGTGCATAGAGAGGGCAAAGGGCTTGTCTAAGGATATCAGCTACATTCAGAAACTCCCAAGCCTGCTCATTACAGAGCGCCTTTGTAATGGAGGCATGGAGCCAAAGGACTCATTACAGATGGAGGGAGGTCATCTGACTCTTCAGAGACACCACTGGCTCCAGCAAGCCCAGATTAGAACCTTAAGTGTCCATCTTCCACTCCTTGAAAACTCTCATGTCTCTTAAAATAAGAGGACATAAGGAACTGGAAAAGGCAGTCAAATGTGCCCTAGAATTAGTTTCGGTAAAATGCAAAGTAATGGTGTGCCAGCCATCTCTCCCCACTGAATAAATCCATGAAATCCACAGACAAAACCGATATATATATAATTATATTATTAATATTATAAATATTAGGATGTCAGTTTAAGACTTTAGTTTTATCTTTCTGTTCAAATTCTTTAGCCCATGGTATTAAAACTATCTGCTTTCTTCCTTAAAGACATTATTTAAAATCTCAAGTCTCAACCTAAAATGTGCCTTGATTTTGCTTTCTGGCTCACATGCCAAGCCTTTTATGGGCATGCTCAGTAGACCTTGCAGACTACAAAAAACTTGCAATCTTGATCAATGAGCATCTCCCCCCCAAGAACTTCTGGTGGCATTTAGAGGTGGGTTATAAAGAATCAGCCACTCTCAACGCAGCCAGAGGGGAGAGAGAAGGAAATAAATAAAAGGCCAGTGACAGCATTTTAACGAACAGTTCAAATGATGCTGTTCACACAGGCACAGAGTCAGTTCTAAAGACTTCATCCACAAAAGGGTTGGGGTCCTCAAATCATCTCACAGGGGTACATGATCCTATCCGCACATACTCAAAACTGAGCATTAGATAGATTTCCCACTTCCTGGGGAGTTTGACTTTTATCTCTAGTTAATATCACAACTTCAAGTGTTAGAAAAATGAGGAAGAATGAGCCCACATCCATTTGACCGGATCCCTTTTCTTCTTCGGATAATGCCACACACATTTTACCATTCAAAAGGCAAGATTTCCCCCCTTTAGCCCAGAAGCCACAGTTGGGGAAATGAATATGTAAGTGCAACAATGAACTCATTTCTAGGCTGGAGAAAGTCTGGGTTGCTAGGAGGCTGGAGACTCAAGATTCCTTTAGAGTTGGTAGCTTAACATAAACATAGAAAGCGAATCCTCAAGACCACAAGTTTCACAATTTTCTACCCTACTATCCTTTTCTAAGGCCTGGTGAGTCTTATCTGTATCTGGCCCAACCTCCTGACCTGAAATGTAGTTTCTCCTGAAGGGAACCTAAAAGCCAAGGCCAAAGGTCAAGCCCACTGCTGTCCATCACACTCCACACTTTAATTACTTATGACCAGCTGAAAATGGTGCTATCTCATTAGAGAGTGGTCATCGGTGCCTACAATTCTGCTTGAAGATCCTACTGTGTGCTAGATAGTTATACTAAACAGTAAGGACAGCTATCAATATCTATTTCTAAAAATGTCCTGGGATTTCTCATTTTGGGGTTTTTTTGGAAAAAAAATTTATTTCCCTTGATTTTCCTATTTCTGTGGCGATTTCTAAAAAGCCTCACAGCTGAAATTATTCTAGATTATTTAGTGCATCTTTGAAGGGGCTTATCTTGTCCAAATAATATACCCATAACCAAAACTCTTCACCAAAAACGAAGTATAAGAACATAAAATAGTGAACCAATGACTAGGCAAACAGAAAGAACTATCAAAAGCCTTTGTTCATAAGCTGCTTCATTTCCTATTTCCTATTACAAAGACTCAGGTGGCGCCCAGAAAACTAGGTACGAGTGGACTTCCTTCACATTTTCTGGGAGGATGAAACTGTCCCACAAATGATCTCAACGTGTTTCTAATTGCATCTATTTCTGTCAACTCTCACATGTTGGAAAAGAAATAAGATACTTGCACCCCCAAGCCACTCCCCCCAAAACAAAGTTTCCTATGAGAAAGGGTACACCTACCCTTCCAATGTTCATTGTGTACATTCGTTTTAATATTTACTGTTTCTTTCAATTACCATCTACACCTGCTTTATATTTCCTGAACTGGCTGACCTTTAAAAGAAAGAATAAGTAACTGTTCTCCCTCCCTGGGCAAAACTGATGTTCTGATCAACCCTGTAACCCCACAAGGATCTAGCAAGGCACTCTGGTCTTAGAGGGCACCACAAAATGGCCCAGCTTTCCCCTCCTGCTCTTCCATTCTCATGGGGCAATCTATCATACTGAAGCTGGACAAAACACCACCAACTTAAAACAGGTCATCACTATCACAGGAAGAAATGAGAGAATCACAAAATTAGAAGCTTTTTCCTCACACCTTCAAAAATGCTTCACAGTACCGGCAATCACAGAGTTCTTTTGCGAAGTCTGAAAATGTGATCCTAAGGAAACCAGTGATAAGACAGATAAAAATAGGCTCCCTGGGAATGTGACTGACATTAGTTAAGAGTCTTGTAGACTTGCTGAGGGAATCATAGCCACCTGCCCTCCAAAAGCTTTGCATTCAGTGTCAATACTGGCCCCTTCTGAGGGACCTAGAAGAGGGGACCTGCTAGAGTGCACTGAGGACATTCAAACCCTAAGTAGAGGAAGCCTAGGATTAGCTGAACACTCGAACATAGACATGGGCTTATGTACATTGTTGTTTTGAGGTTAGATTTGGATCTAGGTGTATTGCAAAATTTAATGCCACGAGTCTAAAGAATACAGCAACCACAGCCCTGACTTAAATTACTGAAGTACAAACTGTGATTGTCACTTCCTTTACAAATTTGGCTTTTCATGAAAGAGAAAAATCAAGGGAGTATTATTGCCAAAATAGTGCAACATCCTTATGTCACCCGATTTTGCAATAAAAAAGATACTTTTATTGAGGTTTTTCTATACATGGAGATGTGGTTATAAGACATTTTTGAAGCTGTGAGATGACCCCAATTTAAAAGGATTTGCTGCTTAGGAAGAAAGAAACTCTAGACTTAAGTATCAACCACAAGCTTAAAACTATCTCCCCCAATTAAGACAGGTCTTAGAGTGATTGGGTACAGGGCATGGTTTTCAAATAAAACCTCCATGTTTCTATTATACTGCATGAAATGCAAATTAATTTCTTCCAGAATTGAAACACTGAACAAATATCGATCGTTACAAGCGGGCAACGCAGGATTCCCAGAATTCAGCATCTTATGCACACTATCCCTGGTTCCCAAGTCACAAACCAAAGCCACTGGATGGTATTTCCAAAGAGAACCTGCTGGCTCTGGAAGGCTCTGAACACACTCTGCATTTTAACATGAAACCTATTTTGAAGGCTTCACTTCCGAGTACCGTTTTGTTTGTCCTTCCGATCTGGCATGCAAAACACGATACAGCCTCCATTCCTTCCACGCAACCCGATTCAATGCAACCTACATTCAGTCCACCCACAATCATGTGAGTATTCCATCCGAAGACAAACCATGACCCCCTCCCCAACCCCCAGAACGTATTCAATGAGCTCTGGCATAGCCTCAGATGAACACAGACTGTCTCGAACCATCCAGAAAGATGCATGGAACCTGTTCTTGGGGGGCGGGGGGTGGTGAACATCCTCTAAGGTAACTGGCCATAACGCAGGGGCAGGCGAGCCTGGTACTGCGGGCGACCCCAGACGCAGACTCTTTCACAAAGCTCAAGGAGGCTGCAGCCCGTGCTTGCAGTCAATAGCTCTGCAGACCAGATGCTCCGCTGGATTCCCCCTCCCAGATTTTACCTAATTAATAGCGCTCCAACCCCATATTGAGAGGGCCTGTTGTGCATCTTGCAGAGGTACAAAATGGTGGATGGGAGCTAATTTTTCCCTGCTCCCCCTTAACTCGTCGCATCCATCACCGCAGGTCCTCTGCTCCAAGCCCCCAACTGACCCAGGCGCGCTGAGTACCGCCTGCGGTTACCAACCTGATGTCATGTAGCCCCGGGAAGCCTGGGGCGCGAAGGCCGCGGGGAAGCGCTTGTGCAGCCGGTAGTCCTTCTCGCTGCGGGATCTCATGCGGTCCGAGGCCCGGTCCGAGAAATCCGAGCTAGGCCAGGCTCGCCGCAAGGTTGTGCTCCGGGTCTTCTTCATGGTGGGGAAGGGCGACCCTGGTGGCCCGATCGTGGGTTCTCAGCGCCGGGGCGCAGCGCGCTGCTTCATCCGTCTACCCCGGCCACGACCCGGGAGGACTCTGTGCACATTTTCCCCAGCCCCTCGTGGTCGTCTACACCGCCAGCGGCGGGTCCGGCCCTCCCCACGCCCCCCCACACCCCCACGGCGAAGGCTCCGATTTTACACACGTCCCACAATGCATTCCACTTCATTTGCAATCCGCCCGGCTTATAGCTTCCAGATTCCTGGGGGGAAAAGGCACGTTGGGAGGCTCGGCGGCCGGGAGGGGGCGGCTGGGGTGGGGGCGCCGAGACTTGCAGCGTGGAAGCTATGGGAGCGCAGACAATGGCCCGATTCAGCGCAGGAGTGCTTAGCCGGCCGTGCGCCACCGCACAAAAGATCCAAACAAACGAGGAAGCCGAGGCCTCCCGGGGCCCACCCGGGATCGCACTCCCGAGCAGCCCGGTGGGGCGGCGGCAGCCACAACCGCACCGGGAGGCTCAGCGCGAGGCGTGGAGATGACAGTGTCCGCGTCGTGTCTCCCCGGACCTCCCGGCCGCGAGGCCCGCAGTCCCTGGCGCAGGCTGGCTCTGCCTCTCCCGCAGTGCTCGGGAGGCCGTCTTCATGCCAGGGCTCCGGCTCCGACGCGGACGCGGACGCGGACGGTGGCTGCGACCACGCAGGGACAGCCAGATGGGTGCTGCCGACCGCCGCGTCAGGCTTCCTCCTTCCGAGGCTGGCGGGTGGGGGCGCGCGCCAACACGCGTGGGTCCCCCGCCGCAGGCATGCTCCTACTCCCGGGCCGCGGTGACTCCGGAGCCCGGAGATCGGCCCCCACGCGGGGCCACCGCGGCTCGGGTACCAGCGCGCAGCGTGGTGGCTGGGCTGGCAGCAGGACGGCCGCCCAGAGTCATGCTAATGTCCCTGCGCCGCCCAGGCTCAGCCGGGATCGCTCCTGAGAATTCCCCGCGGCGGCCGCGCGGGGCCTTGGCTTGGTGGGTGACACCCGCGATGTTTCCACGTCCTTCCGATGTCCCTCCCCCTCGCTCCGAGGGCGAGCGTTCGTGGGAACGCGCCGATCTGCGGCGCCCGGCCCGGCCCACCTGCGCCCAGCCGGAGCCACGGGGCGCCGCGGACGCGCGGGGACGTCGGGCCCACGCCGGCTGCCTGCGCCCTCCTGGATCCCGGGTGGAAGGCACTCAGCCGCGGCCCCCAGGGCAGCGCTCAGCCTTGCACAGCTGTTTATGGTCCAAGCACCAATCGCTGCAAGACAGCGGTGAGCGCGGAGGAGGGGGCGCCCGTCGCACGCGAGGTCACGCCGAGTCACAGGCACGCGGCCACGCAGCCAGCTCCGCCACGCGCCGCCACTCCCATTTTTTTTCCCACTACGCTCACCTCCCCATTTGGGTTGTCAAAAATGCTTTCTGTGTTATCAACAAGCAGGAGTCGAAATCTGATGACCTTTCAACGTGATGTGTCATTTCCTCTCTGAGCAGTTTAAATACATCTGCTACAACGCCTCGTTCAAAATCATTTTAAAGGTGCTATTCCATTCTGATGGGAGACAAGGTGCAGGGCTAGCCGTAGGAAGCCTTCCTGTGAGGATGAGCACTCAGCAGACAGTGGTTAAAGGGTTGAGATTAAAGAAGTCCTGGCACAATCCTAGGCTTGAGGAACCAGGGAGAAAGGCTCAAGGCAATACTGAATCTGGAAGCCTTGTCCCTCAGTATCACCAACCTGAGAGGCACAGGCAGCATAATCTCTCGGGGGAGAGGGAGTAGGGGAGACAGAGTTGGGGAAAATAAATAGCCACAAGTCATACATGGAACTTATAACTGTATCAATATTTATTACGAACTGTACACCTATTAACTAACACTCTTTTTTTTTGTGTGTGTGTGTGTGTGTCTTTTTGAAGCAGGGTCTCCCTGTAGCCCCAGCTGCCCTGGAGCTTACTATGTAGAACAGGCTGGACTTGAACTCACAGAGATCTGCCTGCCTCTGCCTCCCAAGTGCTGGGACTACAGGTGTGTGCCACCACACCCAGCTTAACTAACGCTCTTTTTAAGTCAGGATAATTACCCAAAAGGTGCCTTTTCCTAAAATGTCTCTCTCCTTTAACAGACCATTGGTTTAGGTGTTATGGAAGGCTTAATGTACAAAAAGCCACAGAAGTGATTTTTTAAATATTTTATTATTTTTCATTTTACGTGTATGAGTGTATTGCTTGTTTGTGTGTAAGTACATTCATGTCATGCAATACCCCCCAGAGGTCAGAAGAAGGCAACAGATCTCCTGGAACTGGAGTTAAGGACGGTTGTTGGCTGCCATGTGGGTGCTGGGAACTGAACCCAGGTCTTCTGCAAGAGCAGCCAGTGCTCTTAACTGCTGATTCATCTCTCCAGCCCCATTGCAGTTTTTTTTTTTAATGTTTTAATGAATTTGAGTTATTGACATTAGAAATCTCAGGTCAACAATCACCTCTACCTCCCATGAGCCCAAAGCAGTTACACAGATGACTGTAATAGTTGTGACTTAAGGCAAACCATGATTGTTGGGATAACTGTTAATCCTTATTCACTGAGCAGGTAATTTTTGACTATCTAGCAGCCACAAAACCACACATGGCTCCAAGTAGCCAATGGTCTAGTACAGAAAATGCCCAGAAAGACAAATAAACCCAAAAATTCTTCTGAGTTCTGTGTAACCTCTATGGAACATGACAGGAGCAGAGGCCTATAGCATACTCAAACAGGGTCTAGGACCACAGGAACAGCCTGTGCAAAGGCTCTGAGGTAGAAATGAATCTTGGTTTCTGATGGAAGAAATGTAAGAAGGCCAGTGTGACTGGAAGCAGAGCAGAGCAAGAGAGATGTGGGCTATGAGGTCATGGAGGGAGGGAGCACAGATCATGCAGGGACTTGCTAGCCATGTTCAAGTTTTCACATTCTATTCTTAGTGGGCTGTGAGCCACTGAAGGACTTAAAGCAAAGAGGTGGTAACAGTTTTAGAATATCTATACAAAAAGAGCTTAGAGGAGGGAGTGTAAGGAGAGGCTGATTAGAAATTTTATGGAAAGTAAGTCTGAATCACACTCAACTTGTGAAAAGGTGCTCACTGATCATATTGTGAAACAACGGGTTGGTTGATATATATATTTGGAAAGGAGAGCTATAGCTGGCCTCAGCCACTATGACAGCAGACCTTGCATGCAGAATAGTGACAGCATCCAGTGGCCAGACACAGAAGAACCAGACAGTAGGTATGTCAGGCTCACAGAATCAGCTCAGATGATGCAGTAATTACAGCAGGGGTGACTGGAACAGCTCAGTAACAGTAACTGACTCATCCAAATCAGGTAATCATGTTGAATGGTCACCTGAAGAGAATAGACAGGAACAGTTATAATGAAAGGCAGGCTTAGCATGTCCATCTGTGCTATGGAAAGGTTTGCTTTGGTCATATGTGACTTCTGGGTCCCAGCCCCAGTTTCAAATCTCTCAGCCCACCTGAGACAATCATGTATCTGGGTCATGAAGTGCCCACCAAGACAGCCCTTCTTTGGGAAACCCAGTATTTAACCTGGGAAATTCAGAATTAAAGGAACAGCCTGTGTATAGGCCTGGGGAGATAGCTCAGTCGATGAAGTGCTTGTTGAGCAAGTATGAGGACCCTAGTTCCATCCTCAGAACCCATGCAAAAGGCCAGGCATGACAGCACACACTTGCAATCTCAGTACTGGAGAAGCAGAGCAGAGGGGGTATCCCTGTGGCTGCCTACTCAGCCAGTCTGAGTGACCAGGCCAATGAGAAACCCTGCCTCAAAAAAAAACAAAAAAGGGCAGCACCTGAGGAACAGCACCTGATATCCGCCTCTGACCTCCATCCACATGCACCCACTTAGCACACACTTCCAAACACACATGCAGACACACACACACATATACACATTCACATATATACATATACACACATGCACATACGTATATACACACATGCACATACATATATACACACATGCACATACATATACATACACATGCACACAAATACATGCACCCAGGCATACCCATACACACACAAAAAAATGACTAAGCAAGTCCATTTTATAATGTTAAAATTCTTTAATCAGGCTTAAGAAGAATTCACATATTTGATTTTATGTATCAGATCAGAGATACTAATTAGATCTGTTTTGTGACTCTAATTCAACGTGTCATTGATTTTGACTACTAATCTTAAATGGAAAGGTGTAAGAATTTTGATTTTGAAATTCTCATCATTTAAAGCTATTAGATTTGCCACAGCTGAGTGACATTACGAATTACAGCAGTCCAAGCTCCAGGAGAGAATCGAACTTCATGTGTCTCACTGTTCTTATTTGGTGACCAGTGAAGACCCATCAAACATTTGACAAGGTTTGAAGTAAAGCTTTTCCCAGTCAGATTTATTAACTGCTTTTAAAAAAAATTAAATACACCAAATATATGAAAACAAAAACAGAGGGAAAAATTAAGTGAATTGGAAAGATAAAAAATTAATATCTATATAAAAAGACATTATCAAAAGACCAGGAATAGTCAAAGCAATCCTACAGAGTAAGAACACTGCTGAGCTATCACAATACCAGACCACAAATTATACTACAGAGCTAGAGTGATAAAGACAGCTTAGTACTAGCATAAAAATAGCCAGGTAGGCCAAGGGAACAGAACAAATGACCCAGAAATAAACTAGCAAAGTTATGCCTACCTAATTCTTGATAAAGGAGTCAAAACCATATATTGGAGAAAAAGATAGTCTATTCAATAAATGGTGTTGGCAAAACTGGATGTCCCTTTTCAGGAGAATGAAATGAGATTCACAGCTTTCACCTTGTACAAAAAGTATTCAAAATGGATGAAAAACCTTAATTTAAACCCTGAAGCTGTGAAATTCCTAGATGAAAATATAGGGAATATTTAGGACATTAGAGTGGGCAAGAACTCTCTGAGTAGAGCATCAGTACCAGAGGAACTAGCCCCAGGTATCAGCAGATGGGACTATTAAGTTAAGAAGACTCTACACAGTAAACAAAACTATCAACAGAGTAAAAAGACAGCCCACAGAATGGGAGTACATCTATACACAATACCAGATATACATTAGACAAGGGACTGATATCCAGAATATACAAAGAATCACAAAAATTAAATGCTAAGGAAATAAAATTACCATTCAACAAGTAGGCCAACGAATTGAATAGACACTTTTCAGAAAAATACAAATGGCTAGCACCTACCTTAAAAACTGTTCACCACCCCTAATCATCAGGAAGATGCAAATTAAAACTACTTTGAGAGACTACCTCACCCCAGTCAGAATGGCTATTATCAAGAAATCCAACAACAAATGCTGGAGAGGACGTGCGGAAAGAGGAACCCTTATTCACTGCTGGTGAAAGTGTAAATTGTACAGCCATTGTAGAAATCAGTTTGGAGATTCCTCAAAAACAATTTTTTAAAATAGAGCTACCATATGACCCACTGCTCTCACTCCTCCAGAGAACTCCATATCTTACTATAGTGATATTTGTAACCCATATTTATTGTTGCTCTATTCACTACAGTAAGGAAGTAGAAGTAACCTAGTTGTCTACTAACAGATAAATGGATAATGAAAATCTGGTACATATGTAAAATTGATTATTCAGATCTCAAGAAAAATGAAATCGTAAAATTGATGAACCTAGAATTTACAACATTAAGTGAGGTTACCCAACCTCAGAAAGTAAAAAACTGTATGTTTTCTCTTGTCCTAGTTAATTTCAACTGCTATGATAAAACACTGACCAAAAGCATGCTGGGGAGAAAAGGGTATATTTCCACTTACAACTTCTAGGTCATAATCCATCACTGAGGGAAGTCAGAGCAGGAACTTAAGCAGGGCAGGTACCTGGAGGCAGGAGCTGAAGGAACCATGAAGGAACGCTGCTTACTGGCTTGCACTCCTGGCCTGTGCTCGGCCTGCTTTCATATACACCCCAGGACCACCTACCCAGGGTGGCACCACCCACAGTGGGCTAAGCCCTCCCACATCACTCAAGAAAATGCCTCAGAGACATACCCACAGGTACGTCTAATAGAGGAAATTCCCCAAATGTGGTTCCATCTTCCCAGGTATGTCAGGTTGGTAACTGTAGTTATCCAGCACATCCCTTATA